TCACATTAATTTCATTTTTATTTTTGCTTTTGTCTTCATCAATCTGTGGCTCTGTTGGAACATTCCACAAAAAAACCTGGTTTGGGGGGTAGCCAAAGTCACTTAAAACATTACAAGATGGGTGCTGTTGGTTCCAGGCTTACATGAGGATTACTGGTAAAAACCTTAAATTTTGCTAAGTAATAAAGATTACTTATGATTAGGTTAATGTGTATATTTCCAAGTGTTAACTTTCAGGTATATATTCTATTTAAGTTGCCTTGTAAATAAACAAAACACTCAGGATAACAGTCCAAATGGTTTTTGTTCACATGGCTGAACAGAGAGCTAATTTTTTTGTGAGATAAGAGTAAAGATGCCCTTCACTGGTCACTTGAAGAATGCAAATTTTAAAAACACCAAGATTCCATGTCCAGAAAGAATGGCTATGATTAAGGGCCAGGGATTTGGCTCAGCAGTTCAAGCGCTTGCTTGATAAGTGCAAGGTCATGAGTCCAGATCTCCGTACCAAAAAAAAAAAAAAAAAAGAATGGCTATGACCAAGAAATCAATCAAGGCCAGGTGTGGTGGTACATATCTGTAATCCCAGCACTGGGAAGGCTGAGGCAGGAGGATTGCCATGTAATCAAGGCCAACCTGGGCTACAAAGTTCAAAGATAGCACAGTGAAACCCTGCCTCAAAAGAGGAAGACAGAGACAGAGACAGAGAGAAATCAACCAATAACCAATGCTAGTGAGGCTGTGGGGAAAAATGAACCCTTTTCCACTGCTGGTGAAAGTGTAAACTGGTACAACTACTACAGAAATCAGTATGGAAATTCCTCAAAAACCTAAAATTAAAGGTTCTATTTGACTCAGTTGATTCCCTTTAGGTATCTTTCCAAAAGAGTTAAAAGCGACTTTCAACAGTGATACACACATACTCGTGTTTAGAGGAGCAACATTTATAATAGTTAAATCTTGGAAACAGTCCACATGCCCATTAAAAGATAAATGGATACAGAAAATGTGGTATTTAAACTAAAGAAGGATAAACTTGAGTTACTTGTAGAAAAATGGATGCACCTTGAGACCATAATCTTAAGTGAAATAAATCAGACACTAACAAAAAAAAAAAAACAGCCTTAAAATTGGTGACATGTTTTCATCCAAGATGTTAGTGAATAAAGATTGATTTATCCAAAAAATTTGGTCTTATATATACAATGTCCATTGTATTCTATATAGAATAAGTTAAAAAGAGTTTTTCTTTTTTTTTTAATTTTTTTTTAAATTTTATTTAAGGAGAAAAGAAAAAAAAAGCAGGGAAAGGGTACAAGTCACACAGATTTACAGAAAAAAAATGAACAGTAGGAAATCACCAGTCAACGGACCACACACTGTCATCCCAGAAACAATTGTTCAAGTCACAAAACCAAAGCCTGTAAAGTGGACATTCCATCAATGATACTGCAAACAGTTCTGTTCATTGATCCAACAAAACTCTGCGATATCATTTTCTACCCTACACACTTAAATATACATGCAGTTATATAGTTTGGAGCACCTTCTTTTCCTCTCAAAAAGAGTTTTTCATTGGTATGTGGTTTGATATATGGCTTAACTGTTATCTACACTACGCTTTAGTTCTCATCAGTCATCTAAAATACTTAAGATCAGAAAATAAATATTAATACTAATAAATGCTCATAACAAGCCATCAGTTGCTAAATACAAATCCAAGTATTGTCGTGCCTGAGGAACCACCAGACAAAACTCTCCTCTGTGGTGGAAAAAGTGCTTCTTGACCAATTTGCTTTAATTTTCACCACAGAAGTGTAACTTCTCCAGTTTTTCCTAGAATCTTATCATCAACAAATATTATTAAAGAAATTATATGTCCAAAAAGGAAGCTCTACTAAAGCTGAGACCTGAAAAGATGAAGCAAAAGAGAGCTTCACGGCTGAAATGATTAGTATTAAAAAGAACTCACGTAGTGTACAGTACTTGGGAGGTTGAGGCAAGAGGATTCCTGCAAATTCAAAGCCAGCCTGAACTATACAGCAAGAACCTGCTCCAAAAACCCAAAGGAAAGAAACAAAACAAAGGTCGCTCAAAACTGCAAAAGTAGAAGACTCTACTCTTCTACTGTGAGAAGAAAACACGAGGGTGGGGTTTATTGTACACAGGATAATAAGTTTATTATCTAGAAAATGGTCTCAATCAGTGGTAGGGAGCTTATGGCAGTGTGCCACAGCTGGCTGGCTGTTCCACTGAGAGCTCTAGTAAGTTTGCCATCTTAGGTCTAAATAATACCATACTACCTAGAGAAATTTTTCTCCAAGTTTCCACAGTGTTCAGCTACCCAGGCATTCACAAGCCTTGGCAACCACCAGTTGGTGACTATGGCTCCAGCTGGCAGCAGATCTTGGAATCATCCACACAGTACTAGTTTTATGCACATGCAGAATTCAAGAGTTGTGAGAACAGGAGGCTCCACACGGATTTCAGAGGGCCTGGAAGGCCAGAGCACACCCCGTGAGGGTAGTGCATGGAATTGAGTGAAGCCAGCCCAGCAGAGGCCACGGCCTTTGGACTTCACATTCATCACAATGTGTGCAGGCTGCTAGACATGGAACAAACTACAGGATTTCATGTTTGCCCCACTGAGTTTTGAACTTGCTATGTTTCCATTCCTTTCTATCTGTTTCTTACTTTTGGAATATGAATGTTTATCCTGTGCCTTTTTTGTTTGTTTGGTTGGTTGGGTTTTTGGTTTTGTTTTGTTTTGTTTGTTTTTTGGGTTTTTCTTGGTTTTTTGAAACAAAGTCTGGCTGGCCTTGAACTCACTATGTAGTCAAGCCTTGCCTTGAACTTACGATGACCTTCCTGCCTCAGCCTCCCAAATGCTAGAATTACAGGCATGCATCATCACGCCTGATTTTTTATGGAGGTTCACAGCAAACAGTTTGCCTTACTTGAATCTCAGGAGGCTTTGGACTTGACTTTTTAAGCAATGCTGAAACTGGTAGGCCTTGGGCAACTCTTCAGAGATGGACTAAGTACAATTTGTATAAAGAGAAACACACAGAAAAAAAAATGTTTTGATTTATACTTAGATTTCCCCCAAAGACTCATGCGCTCATAGGTGGAGCTTTTGGGGGTGACTGACTAGATCATGGAGGTCTGATACCCACTGACGCCTGGTCCACTTATGAGTTTACACTTAAATGTGACGTAGGGAGATAAATCCTGGTCTGAGGTGTGGGTCACTGGAGGACTATACCTCCTTCTTCCTCCCTCGATCTCTCTAATTCCTGCAGCTACGCCATGAGCTGTTTCTCCTCTGTCGTGATGCCCTGCCTTGGAGCTAGCTAGATAATGGCCAGAAACATCTATAAATTGTGAGCCAAAAAATTTTTTCTCCTTTAAAAATATAGAATAATCTATAATTATAAAGAGCCTCAAAGTAACGGATATTGAATTCATGAAACTACCATGAAGCTCTAAAAAGGGGTCATTTAGCACATAACAAAGAGCACTTGGAAATATAACATCAGAAATGTTTTTAAAAGAAAAAGAAATGTTAAAAGTTGGTATGAGGGTTTTAAGACAAACTTGAAATTTCCCAGAACACAGACAGAAAATACTAGAAAAGTTAGGAAAATCAGGCCAGAACTTCTAACTTTCTTCTAAGAAAAATTCCAAAAAGAGAATATAGAAAACATGTCAAATTATCCATAAAAAGTTACTAGAAAAAATTTCTAGAAACAAAGAAATATCCAGACTGAAGGGTTTACAGAATGACTAATAAATTATAAATTATCTGCACCAGACTATAGTCATGATTTTTTCATAATACTTAATGAAAAAAATCCTAATGCTTCCAAAGAGGCCAAAGCAGCTGTATACAAAACAACAAAATTCAAGAAAGCACCAGACTCTCCACAGCAACTCTGAAACTAGAAAGGTGCCAAGATTTCAAAATTCTAAGGAAATAAGATTCCTACCCTATAATTCTAAGTCCAACCACTGATAAACATTAGCAAAGGAAGAATAAAGACATTTAAGACAGCGTCTCACGGATTACTCTCACATTCCTTTCTTGGGAAGCTACTAAAGGACACGTTTCACTCAAATGAGGGTATAATCCAAGCATGATGCCATTACAATACAAAAATAAAGGAACCAGAAAGGACAAAGCAAAAGGACACAGAGAATGACGCTGAAGCACTTCTGGGCGTGACCAAAGGACCAGGCAGGAGCTGTGGCCTAAAACACAACAGCACTGACTGAGGCAACACAGAACAAGCTGCTCGAGAGGTTGGTTGCTCACAGCATAGATAGATTACCATAAAAGGCCTACTCTCCTCCTTCAGTGATCTTCAGAAGGCACAGAGGACAGGCCAAGATGTCCTCTATCCACCTGCATCCCTATTCTTTCGGTAGGACACTGACATAATGCCTAGAAAGAAATTAAGATTTCTCAAAGTTTCAAGAAAGAAAGAAAAAAGGGAGGGAGGGGAAGAAACAGGAGAGAGAGAAACAGTGCATAAGCAAGCAAGCAAGCCTGCAACAGAAACAAAGCAAACCAGTGTAATCTCGTGGAGGTTTTGGTTGCTGTTTGGGCTGTTTTGGTCCTGGAGACCAAACTCATGGCCTCACACTTGCCAGGCAGGTACTTGAGCTGCTGAGCTATAAAAATCCATCAAGGAAATTCTCCCAGTTGCCTTGTAATCACAAATTTATTGAAAAATCAGGCTGGAAAGACCACTTTCTTTGCCACATGAATTTCCCACAACTTTACATAAGCAGTCTGAAACTGCAGAAGTTTGCCCAAGGTACAAGACATCTTGTAGCTACTGCAGAGGCAGCATGAACTGTTTGACTTTTGCTGTGTACTTCCCTCAGAAATTAAGACACAATCTAAAATTAATTACTGAATACGGCCTTACCTCCCCCTGGGCTTAGATTCCACTGTTTGGTTTCAAACAAACAAGCTAGATTTGTTCCCTCTTTACCTTCAGTGCTGAGAAGAACATGTGGGCCACTCCCATAACTAAGGCTTTTAATCTTCTTTCCACATAAGGCTTCTAGCTTCTTGGGTACAAGTGTACTCTGGTTATCTCCAGTTCCTAGGCAGTTACTATAATTCAGTCCAAACACAAAGACCTAGAAAACAAACAGTTTATCTGAGTTATCTGGCCTGAAGTTATATGAAAAGCTCCTTTCACAACCAGGCACCAAGGTGCACACCTATAATCCCAGTACTCTGGGAGGCTGTAGCCAGAAGGTCACAATTTCAAGTACAGCCCCAAGAACTTAGTGACTTAGCAAGATCCTGCCTCAAAATAAAACATTTTAAGAAGGGTTGGAGATATAGCTCTGTGCAAAGGCCCTGAGCTCAATTTTCCCTACCAAAAAATAAAAAAGCAAACAAAAACCCCCCTCCTTTTCTCTCCAAGGCACTCAAGTTCAATCTGATAGTGCAGCAAGTAAAAAGAAACTGATACAGTGGCTTGGAAAAATTCAAGCTCTGCCTATTTTACTTAAGTTGTGCACTACTTGTCTACACCTTGGGGCAGAGGAGTATCAAATCAAGCAACTAAAGTAAGAGAAAATTTATCAAAGGTACAATCGTCCTGAGTTTATCCGGCACTTTTTCTCAGTCTTTAAACTGAATGATCTGAAGCCTAACCCCAAAAAGAAGCCGCAGAACTAAATCCCAGTTTGCAGTCTTACCTCATCATTGTCAGTAACATACAGTGCTTCGTTGGCTGAGGTGCCAAAGACACACGCTTTCCGAATAGATGCAACTTCTTGCGGTGAGAGCAGGGTAAAGATTGGCCACTTCCCCACATCCACCATGACTCTGACTGGAAGCAGTTCCTATAAATAAACTGACATCTCTGCTGAAATGAACAAAAAGGATCCCAATGAAGAATTAAATAACTATTACGCTAACTTAAAAAGAAAGGCCTCGTAATAAAAAGCTAATTCCAGAATAAACGACTTACCTTTGGCTAAATGGATTACTCACTTTCCCCAGCAATCCCTCCTCTCCTTTCAAACCTGAGCCTTTTCCTGTAATAAGAGCACAATATACTGCAACCAGGCATTTACTTGTCCTGTCCATTTACTAGTCAGATTTATCTGTTCCACACGTGTTTAATACAACCAGAAAGCAGATACTAAAGACATGCAACCTGGATATAACTGGGGTCTCTCTCGTGGCTATTTCCCTCAGGTATTCAAACTAAGTTATTAATTTGTCTAAAATAGTCAATTCTAGATTAGGAATGTGTATGTAGCTTTACAAATAAAATGCAGAAGCATTCTCCTTACCTCCCCCAGTCCCACTTCCAGCCCAGGACACCCAGAACACCCCATCCTTTGTAGAAAGTCACTGCCATGTGAAGCCGCAAGCTCCTAAGAGCAGTGTGACATTCCTTAGAGAGCCCAGAGTGGACAAAATTTTAAATAGCATTCATTTAAGACTTACTGGATGAAATCATAAGAGAAAACATTACATTCCGTTTCTCATTTCTCTGGTCACATTTTATTTCACATTGACAAAATTTATCATTTGAGGAAAGATAAAGTAGTTCACCTCAATCTTGGTGGCGAGTTGATTATACTGTAGTCTTCTCACAAGTTGCAGTTAGCTCAAATGGCACCCTACAAGTAGAGAAATAAGTAAGTTTCCACGAAAAAAATCTAAACTTCACCTGTTTACAAAGTTTCATATACAGAATCCTGGTCAGGTCCTTAAATTGGCTGTGTAGTATTTTAATCTTAGGGCAATGCAGCATAATGTATATAGCACAACAGTCTGATTAACTCAAAATTACCACTGTCCTTTTTATGATTACAGAGCTTGATAAGATTATATCCAAAAGATGAGAAGTATAAAACAAGAGGCCTTTATTCTGAGAACGCGGAGAGAGAAAACCAAAACACCCCCGACCACTGGAGTGCGGCTTTCTCTCTGGCGGACACGTGGCGTGGGGGGTATATAAGTAGCCTCGGCTTGGGGTGGAACCTAAGGGGGCATTAGGGATGCACGGGTAGCCCACTGGTCTTTGTGGGCGCCATAGGTAAATTCCCAGGGGCGGGAAGATGGAGTCACAGGTAAATTCCTAGGGGTGGGGGAGACAGGAGCTCCTTGGTTCCGCCTCTAAGGCTCCACCGGCTACAGTGTCCTGTCTGGCCAAAACTTTCAGAGCTGAGGTGTTTAATAACTACATTTTCCAGGGGACAGTGACATCTGTGCTAGTATTACAAAAAAAGTGCTAGCTGGGCATGATGGCACACACCAGTAATCTCAGCTCTCTGAATTCTGAGGTCAGATAGCAAGTTCTAGCCCAATCTGGACAACTCAGCAAGCTATGGAGACTTTGAATCCAAAAAAAGCGGGGGATGGGCATGCTGTTCCTGTTCTTTAGCTGAGACAAAATACCTGACAGCCAAGGTTAAAGGGAGAAAGGGTTATGCAGCTCAGTTTGTAGAGGTTTCACTCCATAATCGGCTGATTCCAAGGCAGGGTGGCATGTGCAGAGGAGACGGAGCTCATGGCAGCAGAATGTAGCAAGGCAGGCAAGCAGGGCATCTTTCCATCCCTTAATCTTATCCAGGCTACTCACACCCTTAACCCAGGTGGCCTCGAAACTAGCACTGCACCACGAATCACTCCGTCACATACTCTAGAGTCAGCCACTTCTGAAACAGCTCCACCTATGACCCCATGAAGCTTTGAGAGGACCTCTGACACAAGACATAACGAAGGATGAGGCTCAGTGCAAAGCCCTTGGATTCATCCCTAACACTGCAAAACAAACAAAAGGACATACTAAGTATCATGATTCTACCAATTTAAAGAATTACAGCCGGGGATTTAGTTCAGTGGTGTAAGTGCCTGCCTGGCAAGCACAAGGTCATGAGTTCAATCCCTGGTACCAAAAAAAGAATTATAAAGTATATACTGCCAAGTCAATAAGCTAAACCCAGTACAATCATTAAAAGTTAATTAGGATTTGATCTCATAAAATCTACATCAGGCTTAAAAATCATGGGCTCAACAATGACTCAAAAATCCAAGGTTAAGAAAAACAATATTAGGACAGTGCTGATATTTTATGACATCTATTAAACTTACCTAAAACTAAAAAAGAAGTACTAACATATTTGTTCTGTCTAGATTTCATGTTAAAGGACTATGTAAGTTCATTAATTTGTTTTGTTTTGTGTTGCTTCTTTGAGGCAAGTTCTCACTATGCAGTTCAGATTAGCCTCACACTCACTATGTAGCACAGGCTGGCCTCGAACTCGAAATCCTTCTGCCTTAGTCTCCCGAGCACTGGGATTACAGGCATGCATCACTACACCTGACTTCATCTAATTTTCATTTAAATCACCATTCTAGAGGTTGCAGAGTATTCCAGATGCTTTAAATAGTAGGATGTGAATGATTCGCTTGAATTGGTGATAAGGAAGAATCCTTATCTGGAGGCATACACCCTGGTGAGCACTCAGCAGTGCTTAACCAGTATCCTAAGAAAGTGCCTTTCCATCTTGTGGAACTAGTCACACTCCAAATGGTAGCCACTGCCGCAGAAGCATCCCAGGGAAACATGTCAACAAGAAGTGTAATACAACTAAACCATGTGCTCACTCCCAAATTCAAAACAAACAAAAGCCAACAAAAATATTCCCTGGAAGCTTTAGCTGTACTACCTACATTATAAAACAATATATAATGTATAACTACAATTTTAAAAAGAAAATAGGCCAAAACATCTCCCTAAAAAGATTACCAGTAACATTTTCTTTCTTTTCATTTTTAAAATATATTCCCACATTTTTAGAATACTATATGATCAGTAAAAATAAATGCTTGAGTTGGGCAAAGGATCTTATGCCTGGAAAGCTGAGGCAGAAGAAACACAAGCTCAAACCAATTCAGGCAAATTAGTAACTTACCCAGATCCACTCTAGGATTGAGGAGAGAGCTCAATGCAAAAGTTCTGGGTTTAATCCTCAATATCACAAAAAACAAATGTTTTAAATGAAATGAATGTTACATTACTCGTATTATGTTTTGCTTCCTGAGCTGTTAAAATTTTTAAAATATATTCTTTCTATAGATAATACAACCTAGAGTGGTAGAATATCAGGCAAAATCTGTAAAACAAAATATAAATGTAAAAGATGAGAATTTAAAATGTTATACAGGCACGATGGTACAAGACTTATTAGTCAGCTTTTCCATTGCTGGGACACAATACCCCAAACCCACAACTTAAAAGGAGAGGTAATTTAGCTCATGGTTTCAGGGGACTGAGTACGCGTTTACTTGGCTCTGGGGCATAAACGTCATGGTGGAAAGGTATGGCGAGGCAAAGGGCCTTAGTTCATGACGACTGAGCAGCAGACCAGGCAAGCAGCAGCAGAGGCAAGAAGTATAGACCCCAAGGTCACGCCCCCACCCAGACACACCCAGAAACTCTGTAACTGATCCCAGGACCAGATCCCACACCCTATACATACCTCAACCACCACAATCGCAATTGCATTTCTGGTATACACCCAGAAGAATGAAAAACAGGAACTTACATAGTTGTATACCAATGATCGTAGCAGTATTATTTACAACAGCCAAAACAGTCATTGACAGATGAATGGAAAAATAAAACGTGTACACACATACAGTGGACTACAACTCTGCCTTGGGAAGGAAACTGATACACACTACAACATAGATGAATCTTGAAGTTACTATGTTAATGTGAAATAATCCAGCACAAAAGGACAAATGTCGCATGATTCACTTGTATAAGGTACCCTAGAACCTGGGCATGGTGGCACAGGCTTGTAACACCAGCACTTAGGAGGCTGAGAAAGGAGGGTCACCACCAGCTGGGGCCAGCCTGGACTAAGCAGTAAGTTCAGTGCTGATCTGAACTGCGCATCTCAAAAACAAGTGAGTGAATGAAGAAAGAACTCTAGGACAGTCAAATCCACAGACAGCAGAGTGGCAGCTGCAAGAACTAAGGACTGGTGGAAACAGGATCTTGTCACTAAATGAGCACACTGCTTCACTTCAGGATGAGGGGAAAGTCCTAGAGAGAGGTGGCGACAGCCCCACCACAACGGCAACGCACAGTTACTGAACTGTACTCTTAAAATGGTAAGTATCATATAATGTACGTTTTACATTTATAATTTAAAAATTATAGTTTTTAAAACCAAATAATTACCCTATGGAGTAATTAATAAACACAAAGATATATTTTAAAAATACAATGTAGAAAAGTCCTAAAAATTGCTGTTGGAAAAGTACAATCATACTTCATTAATTCTGTCTTGGAAACACAGAGTCAGATTAGGGATATTCTGAATGAAACAAAAACAGCTTCTTAGAACTTTCCAGCACATATGACAGTCAAAACTAAACTCAATGAACTGCTAAGATGACAGGTCTTCCAGAGCTTGATAATCATAACAATGATGAGCTGTAATTAGCATTCTAATAATATTAAATTGTTACTTCTCAAGTACTTCACTAAGATAGTAATTTTCTTTGCTATCTTGATAAAATGCTACTCATTTTATCAAGGAAAAACCTCATACATAGCACTGACTCGTGTAATAAATGATTATTTTTAACTGCATGGAGATAAAGCAAGGGCTGAAGAACAGAAAATATAAATGCAAGCAGAGGTAGAAAAAAACACCCTTCACCAACACGAATTTCTGTATTTTCTTTGGCACTTGAAAACACATCCTGTATCCCAGATAGACTTCCTCCACACCCATTAGTACTACAGATCAATATCCCACTCCCTGGATGGCTTTTCCTGGTGACGGCACTGTTCTTGAGAGTTTGTGGCAGAGGAAAAGAAAAGGTCATTTTACTTTATAGTCTAAAAAGCAAGTTCAGTTAGGACGACAAATAAAGGTCTTTCAATTTTAGAAATCTGCATTTAGAACTCGAGGGCTAAAGGAACAGAATACAATCATTTGATTCCTCTAAGAGCACATTTTACTTTCCCCTAGGAGCCATGTTTCAAGGGAAGATAGGAGAAGATTTTACTTAGCAAAAACATACATTTGAAGACATTTGTGAAGTTTGAAAGTCAGGAAATAAAGAGACAAACAGTACGGGAAAATTTTGTTTTCGATGAAATAATGGTCTTGATATTAAAACTAGAAATTTAGGGTTGACTTACGAACATATGGCTTCTACCCAGATCTCGCCCTTCCCTATTCTGACCAAGCACGTGGCACCAGGAGACCGATGGCTGCTAAGAAGACTGTAACTCTGGACCTGCCTTTTGCTAACCTGAAAATTTTCTAGAAAAGAGATCAAAAAGCGGTACGGCAACTCTTCAGAGCTGGTCAACACCTACATTCTGGTATCATGAGTGGAGCGTGAAGTGAGTTGACACCACCTTTACTGTGGAAATTCAACCTCAGGGATGCTCTTAAAATGACCTAAACATCCTTCAGCATACCTGCAATAGTCAGGTTTGGACTGTTAGAAACAATAACACTAAATATGCAAAATTATTTCTTTTCTAATTGCAAGAAGCTTGTTAACTAAGGAACTTGAGCATATTCTTAAGATTTCTAACAGGGTCCTTTGACTTTATAAACTGAAAGGGTGAGGCTTTTAGCTATCAGTTTAATTTTCTAAACTGGGGCTGGGGATTTAGCTCAGTGGCTCAAGTGCTTGCCTGGTAAGTGCAAGGTCATCAGTTCAATCTCCAGTACCCCCCCAAAATTCTAAATTGCATGAAAATAGTAATTTATTTATAAATAATGAAATACTGAAAGTCTATCATGCCTCCAAAATAAGCACTATTATATAATAATGTGAACAAAACAACAGCATAAATTACTGATTCTTTTGCAATCACCCCAAATACCAAGAATACCCCAATTGTGATCCCTGCCTCTGAAGAGCTGAAAATCTAAGAGTCAGATCCTAAGTGAATAATTAAGCAAACAGGGATATAACACATGAAAATATATAGTCCATATAAGATGTTATGTATTAAATAGGAAAAATTTTTTGCAAAATAGTGACAACCATAACAAATTGTACACTCCTAAAAACTGTTAAGATATCTTAGAAACCAAACTCTCTACATTCTGACAGAAATGTAAGCCTTTCCTCAGTGAAGACTACCTAGTTTCCTCTAGAACAAAGGGTTGTCACAGTGTTCTTTTTTTATCAATGGAAGCTCCCACTACACCACAAACAACACAGCCATTTTTTCCCCAGGACTGAAAATTGAACTCTGGGCCTTCGTCCTGAGCTGCATCCCCAGTCCTCTTGCTGATTTTTGAGACAGGGTCTCGCTAAATTGCCTAGACTGGACTAAAACTCATGATCCTCCTGCTTCAGCCTCCAAAATACTGGAATTACAGGCACTGCCTACCACATCCAGTTCTTCCTTACTTTTAAGTACATTATATTTAAACTTTCAAATCAAAGATTTCTGGGGTTTAGGGTAAGCTTTCTGGAATACAACCTATAACTTATGCTGAGGTAAGAGCAATTCAAAACACTTCTTGAATTACTGAAAAACCACGTTACTCACGCCTACTTTTATACCTGTTCTGATGGACTTTCAGAAACTAAGCAAATGCTTAGTCCAGTTAAGTGGAGACAGAATCAGCTTCAAATATTTCAAAACAAAAATATACCTTAAACTATTTCATCCATTCTATATGGGCTTCAAATAAAAGGCAAAGTTCCAGAGATCTGTTGGAACACTAATTCTGTCACTGCCTTAAGCTGCTGGAACAGTTGCTCTCCATTTCTCTTTTTCAAGTTGACAGAACTACAAGAATAAAAGGAAAAGAATATCCCGAATTCTGACAAATTCCACAAGACCAAGAAGCCTGAAAATCAGCAATCCTAAAAGAGTTTGTCAGCCCTGATAAAAATACAGCCGAAGCCACCTGTCAGGTATCTGAAGATCACGCTACCACTGTCACACCATTTCCCAACACTGACTGACACTACCCTTTACTACTTTTGTTGAAATGCGCTCCTATTGTACAGGAAAATGTGCGGCCCCACAACTGTCAATTCCCAACAGCCAAAAAGTTACATGACTTGAAGCACAGCTCTCCACAGAGACCCTGGAAGTGTCTCTTCAGCCTTGTCACCTGTAAGGTTGCTTTCTTGTCACTGCCCATTAGCTTCTGGCAATTCCAGGACACAGAGTATCTGACGGCTCACTGTAAATCAAGAAATAATTCTATGGAAGCTATGTGCTCAGGCTGGAGACGTAACCCAAGTGGCAATAATATTCAAGCAAAAAATAACATACTGGGTTGTGAGGGTGATCTCACAAAAAGCACTGCTGTTCCGGATACTTTTTGCAAAAGGAAACCAAGAGTCTCAATATATTTCTGTGATTTTTGATCTGTTTTATCACACATTTAGGTGTCACACAATACACTGAACAAAAACAGATAGATCAAAGATTTAAAGAAACTCATATAACACAGTAATACTTTTTTTTCCCAATGAGTTCAAGGTTGGGGTAGAGGGGGCCAAGTTTAAACCTACCTATGGTTTCATGAACTATCCTACAGGAATGTTCTGGAACTCATTTGTGTGTTAGTCATAGTGCTGTGTGTATGTGTGTTTTGGGTTGGGTTTTTTGTTGTTGTTTTTTTTTTTTTTTTTGGTACTACGGTTGGGTTTTGTGACACAATCTCATTATGTTACCCAGACTGGTCTAGAACTTATAGGTTTTGATGATTCTTCCACTTCAGCCCTCCCAAGTATGTGGAAATAGGGCCGGGGATTCAGCTTAGTGGTGAGTGCAAGATGGTGCATTTGATCCCTGGTACAAAAAAAGAAAAAAATCAAACGAAGTATGCAGAACTACATGTACACACCAATGCACTACACTATACAAAAAAGTATCAAATGTACCCTGTGATACGCTAAAGCCAAAAAAAATTAGAACACTGTGCAGACAAAACCATGAACTCTACTCATTCAGTAAATGTTTACCAAACGTCCTTGGGTAAACAATGCACAGGCCACCCCAAAACCCCTTGTCTTCAGCAGGGCTTCCATGGGGTGCGGGGATCTGGACACACACAGATGCTCACATACTAGGACCAGCACTGATGAGGAAGTTTAGAAGCTGTAGAAGCTTAGAACTGGGTGACACCTAGAACAGTGAGCACATGAGCCAGGTGAACATCTGAGGGAAGGACTGAAAGACAGTATGGACACAGCCAAGCAGTTCAAGCTTGGTCCTCGAAGCCACACATAATCCCTAAAGGGCAAGGAGGGGGCATGGTCCTGTGTAGGTCTCTGAAGATTACGCTGACCAAATGTGGGGACGAGATAGAGTGAGGAGTGTTGAGGGTCAGTAAGGAAAATACATCAATCCAGGAAAGAAAAGACTAGATGCCTACACAAGAGCAAGGGAAAATGCTGGACTCGCCTGTGGATGGTGGACAAGGGGAATGGCAGTCAAAGCTTACTCAGATGGTCCACCTGAGCACACCGGGCTGCCACAGGCCCAACAGAAAACACACAGGCTCCAAGGGCGTGAATTCCACTCTAGACATTTTAAGGCTTAGGTACCCGCAGGATGTCAAGGCAGATACATCTAGACAAATTTACAAATCTGATTTCAAGAGAGAGATCTAGTCTGGAGATTTGGAAATCTTACAAGAAGTCACCCACCTGACATCTGATCATTTGACAAGATACTCCACCCAATCAGAAGTGCAGAGGATCCTGGCAGAACTCAAGAAACCCCAAAAGGAAAGGGATCTCTTTCAGAAGAGAACAGAGAACAGAAAGAACAGAGAGAGAAGGAAAACCAGCAGAGTCCAGCGTCATGATTCAGGGACACGAGAATCACAAACCAGGAGAACGCCAGTGTCAAATGCTGCCGAGAGACCAAACAAGGGAAGTGCCTCGGGCTCTAACAAGGACAACCGCCACTGACCTCAAGGAGTCTCATGAGGTTGTGGGCAGAGTCACACATGGGCGGAGGACAATGTGAAAGGTAAAGGAAAGGAAACACTGAATATAAACAGCTTGTTCCAGAAATTCAGTTGTGAAAGAAAACAAACTGGGTAACTGCAGAATAAAACAGAGTTGAGGGACAATTTGTGGTAACCGTCTCATTGGAACCACATTAGACTTCAATGTTTAAGGGCTAATAAAAGAGCCCACAGAGAGAAGTCAAAGACAGGACGGGATACAACAAGCAAGTGAGGTTCCTGCAAAGATGTGAGAGAAGCTACAGATAGGGAAAGAATCTTCCATCCCAACACAAGAAGAGGGAGAGAGAATTAGGGTCAAAACAAGTTTAAATAAAAACTGACTAGCTGGACCTGATGGCTCATACCTGTAATCCCAGCGCTCTGAGCAAAGGGAGGAGGATCACAGAGTCAGGCCCAATCCAGGCAAACGTGTGACTTAGCAAGGCCCTGTCTCACAATAAATATTTAAGGTGTTGGAACTGCAGGTCAGGGAAAAGGCCCTGGGTTCAACCCCAGGACTGCGAAGAAGAAAAGTTTAAATGCTAGGAGCCAGGTGCTAAAGAAATATTCACCCATGTTCTCTCTTCTGTATTATACATGTCCACCAGCAATACACAAATGTTCCAATTTCTCCATATCCTTGCTAACCCTTATTTTTGTCTTTTTAATGGACCCATCGGAGGCTGGGTATGGTGACACACACCTGTAATCACAGCACTGGGGAGGCTGAGGCAGGAGTATCGCCAGGAGTTTGAGACCAGCCTCCATTGTGAGTTCAAGGCTGACTTGAACTACATAGCAAACCCTGTGGGGGGAGGGGGGAATGAGCCATCCTAGTGTGTAAGGTGGTATCTTGGCATTCTCTTCAGAGGTCACCTAATTTTCCCTGTAAAGAGATAAGATATTCAGTTAAGAGAAAGAACAATAAAATGTAGAGTGCAACAATTTGGGGTAAATAAAAACAAAGAAAAAATGGGTAGAGAAATCTAAAGGAGCAACCAAGGAGGATGGAAAAGAACACTGGTCAGGAAAACCCAGCAAGTTGAACTCAGAACAAGTCCAAGACCACAGGCTCTCGAAGTACCCTTGATACCCAGTAAGATTTTCCCGGAAGTTATAAAGTTGATATAACCAGACCTGGAAAAGAAAGTTCCTCAACAGATTTTCTCATTTAAAGACAGATAGATGTGCTGCTGAAGAACCCACCATTTTGTTTGCTTAAATTTGTGTAACACACACTTTAGAAATGTTTGCTTAGGATTCACTCTCCCTGTACTTTGAAAGTGGAGCATCTCTCATACATACGTTCAGTGAAGATCTACCATCTCTACTGGGTGGGTTTACAACTCTAAACACAGTGCTAACTTCATCAAATGCCAAACTGCAAAAACATCACACATCCATCATTCCAATAATGATCAGTTCTTTAAAACACCTCAGATCATGGAGACACAAAATGTTCACTACAAACTGATAATCACATACATAAAGGTAGTGCCCAAGATCACAAAACAAATGATAATTCTGATTTAACCCATTATCTTGCAAAGTATGAGATATGTCACAATTTTCAGTTTAATTCAACAAATACATTTCTATGTGCTATGCAACACAGATTTAATTAATTTAGAGATTTACCACTAAATCATGCTATGTTGCCCACAATTTTGTATCACATTTTGGGAATAACTCATACCATAACTGTTACCAAGGGTAACTTACATCCCAATACCCAGTGGCTTAAAACAAAACCAGTATTTTATTTATCTTGGATCTGTGTTTTAGGTGTATTCGGCTAAGGTTACTCACAAAGTTGCAAGCAGGGCAGTCCAATTATGGCTCCTCCTTACCTAGCATGACCAAAGCTCCTATACCCAGTACTTCCATTGTTGTGGAAGCTCAAGCTGCCATATTTCTTAGGCACTAAGTCCAGATCGGCACAGTATCACTTCTACCACCTTTTCTGTTGGTCAAAAGAAGTCACTAGGCCAGCCTAGATTCAAATGAAGTAGAAACAGATTCAGTCCTAATGGAAAGAGCAAGTAGGCAAGCAAAGGCTAGGAAGGGAATTGTTGGTGGTCATCTCTGGAAAGAACCCACCACATCTGCAAGGACCACCCCTGGAGAGCTTCACTATACCAACTAGTTTAGGATGGAAACATCTGAGAAGGGATAACCTTTGTCTACTTGCTAAACTTTTTCTTAAGCATCAGAAAGACTATCCCAGCAAAGAGCTAACCATGTGAATAATTTTTTTTAAAAAGCCATAAAATCTCCCTTTGTGGGGCTGCAGGAAGGACTGACATCACACTTCAGGAAAGGTCTGCGAATAGACTTCTGCAGAGTAGATCACTTTCTTAAGCCATTTCACACCTCACATACAATTTGCTATTATGCATGCATGGGTATAACGTCATTTTAAGTGTATCTAATACTTAAACGGAAGTATTCCTATTATTTAAACGCTTTCTGCTCAAATTACCTAAACTCAAGAGTCAAATAGATTTGGATAACTTCACTAACAAGCTTCTTTTTTTGTTTTGGCTTGGTTTTTTTCAGATAGGGTTTCACTTTGCAGTTTATGCTGACCTTGAACTCACTATGTAGCCCAGACTGGCCTTGAACTCAAGAAATCTTCCTGCCTCAACTTCCTGAGTGCTGGGATTACAGATATGCGTCACCACACCCAGTCCACTTCCTCCTTGAGTTGAGGAGCCAGTATCAAGAGATTTTGTTAGCCAGGCATGGTGGCATACGCCTGTAATCATAGCACTTGGGACTGAAGCAAAATTTCTCCAGTTTACGGCCTGCCTGGACTAATTTAGTGAGTTTATGGTAATCTCAAATGAAAAACCTAAACAAAAAAATATGACCTAGATTTGCATATGTCAGTACTCCTCACAATCAAAATTCTTACTACCTAAAGTCTGGAATCCAATAAATTTGTATAGAAAAAATATTAACTGCTATCTTCAGACAGTACAAGAATAGGGCATGTACATTCTTCTTTAAACTATTTATATCTTCTTCCACGCTTGCAAATTTTTCATTAGGTAAGTGTCTTGTGTACTTGGAAACACTTCTTAAATTTTAGTCCATTTTACCGTGTCAAATACAGAATTGATAGGAACTACTCCTCTCTAGGAAGCTATGTTTAAATTCAGCCAACACTCACCACGTCTCTCTTGTACATTCAACACATACAAACCATGCAAAGTTGAAAAGATTTTTTAAACTATGTAACACACTGTTGTATCCTATTGACTTCCTGGACTCTGGGCTCCTGCAGGGCACAACCTTGCTTCTTTTGCATGACTGACTGTTTACGGTACACACGTAGGGAATATGACAATAATGAAGGTCTTTCACAATTTCATCCTCCCCACAATGACTCTGCAGGTAAAGAAAGACCTTATCTCAGACTCCCCAGCTCCTAATTACTAAGATGAAGCCAAACTCCTCCTGGAACATACTGGTGATTTTTAAATTAAAGTTTTTAAACTTTTAAAAGCTACAAGCTAGATGGCTTTGGTTTTTATCAGAATTCATTTTCTAAAGTTCCCAGAACTTGATCATTTGAATCACAGACATAAAAAATGACCTGCAGAAGAAATCTCTTTAAAGATGATACGATTCCCCTTCAAGAGAAATAAATAAGATGTAAGAACAAAAGCTCTGTGTAGACGTACTAATAAACTGATGGGAACTCACACCGGATTAAAAGCCATCTTACAAAGAACTGCTATATAAACAGATTTAAATATACGCACTAAAGCAGTTCAAAAAGGGTGAAATTCACCTAGGGCTTACATCAACGGGATTTACTCTTCAGTTTGAGGAAGGCTATAAACTTCCTTCAGGGGCTCAATCATTTTTCCATGCCTTCTGGCATTATATACTTTGAGGGTTTAATACTATTAGGCCACAATACAAATTACTAGGCCAGTTTCACAAACCCAGCGTTTGCCCTATAAGGGCTTTAAGGCAAAAGATACCATGAGTCTTTCTTTAAAGCAAGATTACAAAACTGTTTTATAAAACTGTAATCCTCAGCTTCAACAGTCCTTCAGCAAATGGTTTTATACTGTCTCGCCCGCAAAATATAGACAAAAGCCATTATAAAAGTATAAGAAAGTGTGTCTCTATAGTCATTTTAACTAAAACAAAGCAGGTAGGTTTGGGAGGCTTTTTTAAAATCAGAAGTAGGCCAAGAAAAATACCACTCGCTCCGTTCACTGCGCTCCTGGGCATACGGCCCCAGTAAGAGAATCGCCCCTTTGCGAATCCCACGACGCGGGGAAAATGGAAGCAGACGCGAACTGAGCTTGTGACAGCACTACCCTCAGAGATGCTGAGATCCGGGGCCGGGCCAAGTGAGGATGGAGGAGGGCGGTCTCCGCTCAGCAAATCGGCGCGCGAGGCGGCGACACACCGCGGGCGGGCAGAGCCGCACCGGTGCAGCTCGAAACAGAAAGCGAGCGGGAGAACTTTCCCTGCCTCCCCCGCCCTCGCCGCTTCCACACTGGAGGAGACGAGAGCCGGCGGCCGGCGCGCCGGCCCGACGCTGCGCCCGCGGGCCTGGGGCCGGGGAGGACGGGGCGCGTGTGAGCGGGCACCGCCGGCGGCCCGCCCGGCGAGGGAGGCAGCGGGAGGCCCGGCCTGGCCCGCGCGGCCGGAGAGCAGCTCGACCCGCGTCCACCGCTACCTGCAAAGCCAGCTCCGCCCCGCCGTCCGGGCCCGACTCGGCGCGCGCCGCGGGGTCTCCCAGCTGCGCCGGCTGCACCGCGCGAGCGAGCGGAAAGCTGCGCGGGGCGGGGCGGGGCGGGGCGGGGCGGGCCGCCGTCACGTGGCCCGGCCCCCTCACGTGACCAGGCCGCGCGCGCGGCTGTGCCCCAGCGGCTGGGCTCGGGCGGCCCCGGGGCCGCGAAGGCCGACCCCGGACCGGCGGGAGTCGCCGAGAGTGTGGCGGCGGCTGCGGGAGCTCACGCCTCTGTCTCCAGGGGCCGGGGAGGCGCGGCCTCTGCGCTCTGCCTCCCGGGCGCGCAAGGGGCCCGGCTCCCTCCCCGGGAACCAGGGCGGGAAGCGCGCCGCGCCGGGAGCGGAGGCCGCGGAGGAAACGCTCTGCTTTACCTGCCTCCCTCTCACTCACAGCCACCCGTCGGCCTGGACCCCGAGCGCCTGCAGAGGACGGAGACGCTGGCCCCCCAGCCAAGGAAAGAAAGAAGGGTGTGAGGCACGGGGTGCGAGTAACGGAAGGCAGAAATGCCGCGGAAGTGGGCTGTCAACACTGGACCGCGCTCGGAGGGCGTCGGGCTCAGCCCGCTTCTGCAAGTGGTAAACTGTGGCCCGCAAATACCACAGCTAGAAGCAGGGAAAATGAGGGAGCCACTCCTTTCCCTTCATTTGTCTGTAACCACACTATCCCAATGATTAGCCATATTTAAACTGAAGGAGACCCAGTGCCCGAGGTGGCAGATCATTGATACCAAGCTCCCGGAACTGAGGTGGCTGAGCACGGTGGAAGGCATCTAGAGTTACAGGTGGCTAACCCTTTAAGTACTGGAAGCCTGAGTTGTCCAGGATTCCTGCTCCTCCTTTTTCCCTTTGACTTTCTGCTTGTTCCTGCTACTACCATCCTGCAATCTTCAATAGAGGCAGCTACTCATCACCAGGTATATGCTTAGCAATTCTTTCCTTGACCAGCACTAGAAACTAGACGACTTTTGTCCCATTCAGCTGTAATAGAAGAACTGCTCCGTGTATCACTTTAAAGGCCACCTATATGTAGTTTTCAGAACACGCAGTTGGCTTTACAGAATGAAGTATAAACTTGGCAGTGTTACAAGCAGCCTTGTTTAAACTTGCTTTTTTCCATTTGAGCGCCCATGAATAAATTTTTTAAAATTGTTTCCTAAATACAACTAAATATCTCTGGTGCATTACAAAAAGAAAACTTTCCCTGTCTTCCACTTTCCCAAGGCCACTCCAAACTCTGGCTGCAGAGAATTCCTGTTCGCCTTGACTACTCAGCTTTCCTTAAATTACTTTTCCTCTAGCCTTATTCTTTGTGTTTGTTCTTTTGCCTCTATCTGAAATCTACTGAATTAGTATCTCCCTCCCAAAAGGGGGAAAAAAAGCCTGACCGTAAAGAAATAAAACCAGATCTTATTGAGAAACTGTCAAAAGGTGCAAATGGAGTCCAGTTCTTTCCTCAGTTGTAGTAGTCCTAAATAAACTGTGTTTTCATCACTTACTGTCTGGCTCTGGCTTAACTGTTCAAAAGTAACCATTGGTCTCCTACTCAACTTTCAAAATCAAGGTCACATTTTTGTGACCTTGTTTTCTGTGTTCGCATCCTCCTCCCTGATTGATTTCACAGCTTCAGCAATTGGAGTTCAGTCAGCCAGGCTCAATTGCAACTTCCTTGATTTCATAACATTGTATGTGTGTTGTAGAGAAATCTCATCCTTAAAAAAGAAAAAGAACTCTCACCTTGTCCAAAAATGGACTAAATATTTCTTGTGAGAGATGGGTTATATGTTATTGTCTTCTAAATTACAAACTCTTTGAAACAGGTCTCTCTGGACTTAGTCCAGTATCTAGGATGTGGTTTATCACTTAAGACCCATGAATGAAGGGATAGGCAGGGAAAAGACTGAATGAAAGCCTCCATTGAACTTTGTTACAAGTTGCTGGAGCCAGGAGTGGTGGCATTGTTCTGTAAACCCAGTACTTCCAGAGGTTGAAGCCAGCCTAGCCTACAGTGAGTTCAAGACCAAGCAACCTGAACTGCATGGCAAAGCCCTGTTCCAAAAAATAAGAAAGAAAAAATTAATGGAGAAATTTACTAAGGGCTGTGGTCTCTGCCTCTGTGGTCTCTGCCTTAGGCTGAAGCATTTAGAAACTCTAGCAATCAGGAAGATAAAGACAAAGAAACTAAACTGAGGGTGGTTTCAAGTAGCTTGGTCAATATAAGCCCCTTTACCTAATACTTAAGCCTACATCTTTTGTCCCCCCCCCCAAACTGCCCATAACCCTACCCTCCACCAGACTACAGGAAAGCTCATGGAACCAGAAGAAACCCAAGGGGAGGACCAAAAACAGCCATGGAGCCAATCGGATTCTAGGAGCCTGTATGGGTCAAGAACCTCAATAAAAAGGAGCCACAGACAAGTATGCACCACTGTTTCACTTTTCAAGGATTCTTACTTGTCCAGAGTAGCTGTTCTCTTTCTCTTCCCCCTTTTTCTCCACCTTTAAATAAATCATCTTTTCTTAGTTTAAATTTGGCTTCTTTAATTCTCTACTGATGCTGGTTTGTAATCCACAAGAGCTGCATGTTCCAGGAGAGTGGTGTGTGGCATGACCAGACTTTACAGCTTGACCAAGATCATAGCTTTGTAGTGAATTTACTAATAGAAGCTTGTTTTCTTCAAAGAAACTCTTGGCTGCAATCAGATCAAAATAACTTCTCTGAAACATGTTTGATTGAGACCAAAGAAAGAGAGAGGGAAAGGAGGTGGGGGAGGTTTGGGGTTTGATTCCTCAAATAGTTCCCGAGTGTTATTTGTCAGATGCCATATTTGGTGGGTCTTGGAGGATAAAAAAATTAAACTATACATGATTGATAGTTGCTGACCTCCAGGAATGTGTAATTTGGTTCATTATTCCAATACAGAGTGAAAAATACCATTTACAAGGTGTTAAATGAATACAAATTAGGGACCACAAATTAGGAATCAGATTTTTTGGTAACATGAATTTGGGGGATAAGTAATAGATGAAGAAGGGAAAGCAAAAGATGTTCCAGGAGTGAGTAGTATATCCAAAGATAGCAAAACATGAAACAATATTATTTGTTTATGAAAAATCAAGTAGCCCTGTATCAAGGACCTTGGTGATATCATTTATCTCTAGGACAAAGGAAACCTAATTAGGCTAATTCTGATATACCTGAAGGAATAAGATATTTATATTAATATTACTAATGGAGTAACTTTCCCTTGCCCGTTGTTACTTATTTATTTATTTTGCTCTGGGAATCGATTGCAAGCTATATTCCCAGCCCCTGAGTTTCATTTCAGCAGACAAATTACGGGCATATCATCTATAAATTGACCTGGAGTAGTGTTAGATGATTTTTTTTTATCTTTTTATCGCTAGCTCTAAAAGTTCTCCATAATTATGATCTTAAAATGGTAAAATTTTTTGTCCTAAAGATTACTTTAGTATACTCTACAGGGCAGAGAGTGGATGGGTGGAACTTGTTTATTTGTGGGTCTGTTTTGTAATGGTTGTGCTCAGTCCCATGATTTTGCATGTGCTAAGCACGTGCTCTGCACTGACCTACACCCCAAAGCCTGGAATGTCTCTTCTTGATGCTAAAACATACTACATTGGTAAAAAGTATCTGTCAAGAATCTAACAAAATAAGGAAGTATTAAGATACAATGGAACATAGGAGAATGATTTTAGACACTCCTGGGAGTTTATTTTTTTCTTTTAAAGAGGGTAAAACTAAACATAGCAAAACAGACCAAAACAGATCAGAATAAAACAATGTAAGTGACACAGATTTCAAAACAAGACAACAGGAGATGTACAGTGGCCACCATAGTCTCTTGTTTTCTTCTAAATAGTTGTCTATACCTTCACACACAATGAATTCATACAAAGCAAAATAGTATCAAACTGATCAGAACAGAGTGATGACTCCTGGAAATTAAGAATTTCATTTAAAAACATAATCACTTCACAAATCAGAATTAGAATGTCTTCCTTTGTTCACTTTCTTGTCCACTGTGCTTCTCTTCTGAGAGTCAGCTTGTCTGCTTTCAGTTCTCCATGGCTATATCTCTACTCCTTTTTATTTTTATTTTGAAACAGGGTCTTGCCACATCTACAAGTTGCTCAAACTGGGCTCCGATTTGTTATCCTCTTATCTCAACCTCCCAGAGCGCTGCAGTTACAGGCGTGTGTCACAACTCCTAGCTTATACTTCTTTTTTTATATATCAGCAGTGGTTCTTATTCCATTTGATTTAGCTATGGCAACATCGTGGCTCATTAGAAAGATAGCAGCTGGTTTTCTGGAAAATGGGAATTCTGACTACAGTTGACAATGAAGCAACCCTGGTCATCTGGATATTACTATACATCTTGAAAAATTCTTGAAGTGCCCTCAAGG